GAATCATATCAAGCACCAACGATGGCATGAATATTCAACTTCCTATACTGCAGTACACAACGTTTCAGCAATGCAGATTACCAACGAAAAATTTCGGCGACGATCATGGGGTACAAAGGGAGCTTATGGTTGCAAAACAGGTGGTGGGTAGCAGGCGTGCGCTGCGCTCTGGCTATGGACATACCGGGCATGCCAGAAAGTGGTAATCGGTCAGGTGTTATAGCCCGGGCAGTTCAAACTCCTTCTGTATCCTTCCTCCATGGTCTTACTATCTGTCCATTGCTCTAAAATCCAACTCGTCACTGCCAATTACTAATTCAGTCTGCTTATTGTATGTTTCGTTTACGAATAAAAAAAGGAAAGGCCGATCAGTATAGCATAGCTCTTACCTGTTCATCACGATCATCATGCCTGCAGTGTACCGGTAATCCTTTTTTTATTCCTCAATTATCAAGATAAGTTACTGCTTCATTTTAATAAAAATCGGAACTCTACAATATTATGTGTTTATACATCTTTAACCAAAAAACTCTACAAACAAATTAAACATGTTAAAACACTTCAAAGAGAGATCGTTGATGAACTTCTTCCCGTATAACTACCGGTACAAGAACCCTGTACACTAACGGAGGTTACTCTTATAATATAGCAGGTTATGTTGCAAATATATGTTTAAAAACCGAAATTTAAAGCAAAACAAAATATGAACATTTTAGGGGTAACCAATAGTGAATTAATTGGTCAGTCTGAAACCCCCAACCCGACAAAAACAGAACTGTATTTTTTATATTGGCTCGACGGCAGGCGGGTCGAAGCCGGGTACCAGTCACGGCCTCTGTGTAGCAGGTGAGCAACAGACCTTCACCGGAAATAGCGCACGCGTAGTGTGTGCATGCACTTTACAACTAGACTCAAGAACAGATGAACTACGTCTACAAAAGTAACGTTGTCTCTCACTTATTTTCCTCGATTTTGCTGTCCATGGTTCGTTCTGAAATTCCTGAACCCCCCAGATGGATAGATAAGACCACAAAGAACTTGTAAACATGAACAATTAGTTTCTTCAATAAGGTAAACCAAGAACAAATTAGAACCAAATTTGTGGTCGTTTTGCACACAAGTCTTAGACCCTGGTTGCAGTCGTAATGAAATGAAGACAACGTCCAACCTAGGCTAGGGGTACATGTACATGTAGGTCCTACCTTCCTTCCTCCATGTACTAATGTACAAGTACTGCTAGTGGTACTACTGCGTTTGCGCAACTACATGTACTTTTTTTGAGTTCGCAATACTAATGCGGCCGTACATGTACGTAACACATTTTTGAATGGGTTGTTCGATAAATTTAAGGTCCAAACGTGACATTTTTATGTCCCTGTTACACCTTACTTGTGTAATTTCGCACGGAAATATCACAATTTATTTCAAACTATTTCTATGTGTTTGGCAGGTAGGGCCAAGTTTACATCAGTTCATCACTCTTTCTTAGATTAGAAATTAGAGAATGTGTTCTGAACTTAGGCGTACAAATCAGATGGATGTGACACACTGACAGGGACACAAAAAATTGCACCCCCAAGTCATAGAATGACCCACATGCAGCCCAGTTACTGAGTTATATCAGATCAATATTTTTAATTAACCCACCAACCTTACGTTTTCCTCGTGACAACAATCCAAACACACCCTGCACTTCGGATACATCACAGGTGTCGACCAAGCATTGGGTTGCCAGCTAACCTCCATATATCTGCTTGACCATATTCAGAAACAGGGTGATGGTATCTTGTTTTCATTACGCGAGTGTCCTCTATGACTGTAAACAATTTCAGATTCAAAGGCTGCCTTCAAAAAAATGAATATGTACAAAAAATGTATTATTGGAGCATTTGTGTTTAGATGACCCTCAAGGTATATCCCTTCCCTTCACAACTTTACAGTGCAGTGCATAATGCCTGCCCACCATGTTAGTCCGATGACACACATAGGACAATCAAGTAATGAAAACAAGATTCTATTTTCCCTGTTCTGTTGCTGTAGGGTCATGCATGACCCAAGCATCTTCATCTTGTTGGTACCGAATGAAAGCTCCAACAACATTTGCTTTCGAATCCAAATAAAAACCAAACAATTTTATCAATACATGTAACTGAATATTTCAACCCCTAATCCCCATTTTCTGTTTTAGGACACCTTGCACTTAAAGAGATGGGCTCAGATGAAGGAGCCTGTTCCTATAACATTAAAATAAGCCACATTGTTTACCAGTAATATATCCCACGTGCAGGGTACCGGTTATCCTTCAACATAATTACAGGGATACTGTTCTAGACTAAAAGTGCATCAAGTTATTGAAATGTGCAGGCCATAGTAACTGGCTAGTATGAGAATTGTGCACTTGAGAGTTGGATATATGGAACTGCCATTGGCAGAATGGGGCCCACAAGAGCCAAGGTAATTTGTTTATACAATACGAAGACTATTACGGACGGGGATATTCTACCTACATGTATGTCATTCAAAATGGTAGACTGTAATCTGGATGATTGCAAATGTTTTGGCCAAGGGTGTAGAAAACTTTTGATGCCTGGCAGAATGAAAGCATGATGTCTGTATAGTCTGAGGGGGTTGGGCCCTCAACTATATAGCATTTACTCTTTTTTGTACCCGTGTTTTCTTGTGTCATTTGAATGAATGTTGGTAAGTTTTCTTGTCTTTCTTATAGCCATTTGAGCTGCATACCGTACATGTATCATGGCGATGAATCTTCTACTTATCACCGCCTTCATATCAGAAGTTATACTTCTTGTCTGTGGAGAAGGAAGATATGAGCAAGGAGTTGTAAGAGCTAAAGAAGGAGAACAAATGCTGACCCAGATAAGACAATATGGGGAACACCCACGATATGGCAAATGCTGGACAACTGCACTGGAGCAAGTGCATGAAGGTATGTACATGTTTGTACACGTACATGTACCGTCATTTGCAAAAGTTTAAGACCACCATACAAAATGCAGTAACTCGAAGGAAAACCAAACTTTAGCAAATAAATCTTTGAAACTCACATTTGTTTATTTATTTTCAAACGGCGAGAAATGGTGCTTAAATTAACATTTGTCCCTGTGAACTTCAAAGCTAAATAATCTGTCAACAAGAACTCAAGGAATCCTTCACAATAATTTGCCGGATCACATGGTCTTCACAGGGGGTAGTTTTTCTTGGACGACCATGCCTTTTCTGGTCAGAAAATGAGCCATCTCTTTGAAATTTTGAAAAGGCGTGGTGCATAGCAGTCTTGCTGCAACCAGCCCTCTCGCTAATTTGATGTTCAGAGTAGCCCTCTTGAAGGAGGGTCACCGTTTAGGCCCATTGAACCTGACTAAGACAGGCTTTTTACCCATGCTGCAGTAAAGACAAAATGCCATACAAGACCTGTCTTGGCAAAAACGTTCATTCAAATAGGCTCATAGCACTACTTTCATGTTATGACCACTGTGGTAGACATGTTATGTAATCATCAGATAAGACAAAGGAATGCAGGCCCATTTACAGAAATACCCATAAAATTCCAGGTGGTCTTAAACTTTTGCAAAGGACTGTAAAAGCTTGTTTACTTTGTTTCTGCTCCAATTTTCCCCCCAAGACTTTGGATATGTATATGTTGCTTAGGTTTAACACTTTCAACATTTAACCAATGTCACCATATTTAAATGCCTTTCTTTTGATGAATTTGTAGTTTGACAGAACAATATTGGAAATCCAGAGAATTGTCTTTGCACCGATAATGATTCTCTTTGCCCTTGTCTGAGCAAATTTGTATTCTAGATCCCCAATGTTTTTTAGTGTTTGCTCCTTGAGTAAAAAACTCTGATATTTGTACTGATACTTGGTTCATTTTTTGGCAGGATGCAAGAGATTGACAGATGATGAGCAAAGTTACCTTGCCTTGACCTTTGCTAACTGTCACTTAGAGAAAGCGGGTCTGACATCTTATCCCTGTGAAGGGACAGCAAACATCCAATTATGCCTACAACAGCTGAAAGGTGATGCTGTAGCATTCAACGCTTACACAGAATTCTTCACACATACCCAAGACATCTGCTTCTTCTTACAGAGCCAGGTTTGGCATGAGCAAACAGAGCAGACTGTATCTAGACTGGCCCAGAGCTCAGAAAATGTGGCTGACAAGATGGAGGTCACAGGTTGGTGATTAATACAACAGTTTGTTCAAGGCCACGGTTATAATTGTCAAGTTCATTCAGTAGCCTAGATATCTTTGTTTAATGTGTCACACTCCTTCAGATCCTACACCCAGAATGATTTTCATTTTTTTATTCTTTACCTTGGACATTCCTGGTTAAGACATGTACATGTATATCACATGCCTGCAGATCCCACACTCAAGATTCTGAAAGCTGTTATGTATCCAAGATTACCCTTGTTAATCCGCCTTGAGCATAAGCACCCTCTCGTCGGTTGAAAGAGCTGCGTTGGTCAGGAGTGGTTATTTAGTTGGTAGCAATGTGACCGTGATACAAGCATTTCCTAGTCATTGGTTTATTTAGTTGGTAGCAATGTGACCGTGATACAAGCATTTCCTAGTCCTTCGTTTATTTAGTTGGTAGCAATGTGACCGTGATACAAGCATTTCCTAGTCCTTCGTTTATTTAGTTGGTAGCAATGTGACCGTGATACAAGCATTTCCTAGTCATTTGTTTATTTAGTTGGTAGCAATGTGACCGTGATATAAGCATTTCCTAGTCATTCGTGAACCAGCAAAGCTCAATTCCAACCAAAGGAGCCTCTGTTGCTAAGAAAATAGCACCCTCTCTTGGTCTTGCAGTTCCCACTGCAAAATATTCCATAATATCCTCACCAGCATACATGTAGATATCTTTGGGACTCCCCTTTGGCATCGGCATGCAAAATATGGATCAAACAATAGTTGACATACACACATACTTATACAAATGCAAGAAACTGCAGCATCTTGTAAGCAACAGTTTCTTGACTTTGATAGGTAAACTACAGGAGGAAATGATTGAAAAGCAGGGCGAATCACTCAAGCAGCAGGACCTCATCTTGCAAAGTGAGGAGAAACTAAGAGATGCCCTTCAGACATCCTCACAGGATATCAAGGTATCATGACTGAAAGGAGTTGCTTTCTTACAAATGGACTTCCAGGAATTTTTCACCATAATAATCCAGAAATCAAAATAACAAATATGTCTACCTACTTTGGTGGTCGAGTTTAATATTTGAAATTACCTTGACAGCAACTACTCACAAAAACTTGGACAAAATACATGGTTTGGAAATTAAGACACATGTTATTTTCCAATTCTGAAGCCATTATCCTGAAAAAAATATGTGAAGGGAAGATGAGTAAGAATGTTTGATATTTTGGAAAACCCCCAGTGATTTGTTTGTGCATACAGCCTTGATTCAGAGCTTATACATGTATGTATGATCAGTTACTTTAATGTAGAATAACCCAAACTCTTTGCATCATTCTGTAGGCCTCAAGTATCAGTCAGCAGCAACATTGTTCTTGTGTCTATGTGTAGAGTCCATGTGACTCCAATCTATCTCAACCCATGTGACTTTGGACATACATGTAACACTGAATGCACTCCTGTTGGCAGCTTAAGACTCAAATTTTAAGGAATCAATGGATTTTAGCATACAAGTACAGTATGTCATCTGTTAGCTCGTCAATTTTATCATGGCCACCAGAATGTCTTTGCTGAGGTGAAGGACCAGACACAGACCCAGAAGCGTCTATTTGAGGAAACATTCAGCCGTGTAACTGATATTCAACATCTGATCCTGGGAGAATTCAGCTGGTTCAATTCACTTCTATTTTTTGCTGCTGCCATACTAATTGCATACCTGGTGACCTCTACACCACGCACTAGCGGAGCAAGACTCTGGCTATTTATTATCCTAGGAGTGGACTGGATGGTTGAAAGAGCTCTGTTTCAAGTCCCTGACAGTGATCAGGTAATGTGTGATTGTTGCTTCATGAGGCACACTCCAAAACTTGTGAATGCCATTAAGTCACTGACTTCTACGGTACATATATGTTGTGAGACTCTGGGTTTTCACTCGAGAGAAATTGGGCAACCAAGTTAAGCCAAGATTACTATTAAGGCTGTGCCGAATAACCGAATATTCAACCGATTATTGCATATTCGAATTTTTTTTCGAATTTGAATACTCTTATGCAAAATTCATGAAAAGGGAGGGAGAGTTTTCTTTTGTTAAATGAAAAAAATTGCACTAAGGAGGCTTGGTCCAAGCAGATTCAAATGAAAAGCAACAGAAACCTTACAATGAGTCAAAATATACATTATTCATTAAAAAATTTAAAAGGAATATACATTTTCAACAGGAAAAGAAGAATTATTCATCTCATGAATCTTGCTAAATCGTGGCTGGAGATACTCGTAGACGTGAAAAGCTATTATAGCGATTATAATGTACAATTGTGTACGTTATTGCAACTGATTTTGTATATGGTTTGTTCTTCAACAATCTGCCAGTCGGTATGGCCGAATATTCGGATATTCGATTGAATTGAAGATCGAATATTCAAATAGGGAATTATTCGAATTGACTGAGCCCTAATTACCATGACAACCAGTCTCAAGAACTAGCAATGCTCAGTAGATCATAGTGAAGTCAAAAATGGCTCATGGAATTTTTACACCCTTTTCAAGGACCTAATGAACTAAAAACACTCAAGCCATGTTTACCTTGCTACGTTCCAAAATAACCAATTTCTTTACCCTGTGACCTTGTCAACACTTTTTGTATTTTATACCTTGTCACAAGAATTGCTTTGTTTTTCTTATAGACACAACTTTATGAGTACATGTGGTTTTGTCGGAAGGGTTTTGGTTTAATGGCGGTTCTGGTTCTCTGCTTGTGTGCGTATCGATACAAAGATTTGGTGGCAGCAAACAACATGCTTCTACTTGAGATAAAACGACAAAACTCTGAGATGTGTCGTGCCATGAAAGGATTAGGTCAGTTTTCCGCAGAAAAGTTTGGTGGAATGTTGTCAGTTTTAGGCTGGTTTGGGGAAGCAGTGTTCAATGATTATGCCATATTGGTGCCAAGTAAATTTTGTTTAAATATCGCTGAGTGTATTGAGAATCTAAAATTCCCAAACAGCTTTGCCTAATTATTAGATGGGATAACTTATCACTGTAAAAATATTTCACCCAGTGTTGAAAATTCTCCCTTTAACAAAGTAAAAATACATAGTTTAAACAGGAAATGTTAAATGTCTTTGTACATTTATTTTCAGGAAAATTCAGAACTCTCCCTTTGAGGCAATTTTTTAGTATGTCTTCATACAAACAATGAGATCTGTGATTGTGTAGTAAGTAACGTCTTGGAAAATATTCACCAATAAGTCAACATTTCTATTTCCGATGATGCTGAGACTTTTTGGATGTGATGTCTTGTTATTTGGAAGGTCTGAATTCTTACCCTGCGCTTGGGAGTAACAGTGTAGCTGCAGCTCTACCGTCGTCAGGTACAACTGCCATGTCGCTAGTTACAGGACAGAAGTCCCTGTCACATGGCCAGGACTATTGTGACAGCATGCTACACACAGTGGCAGGTATTTAACGTGAAGATACTACACTTCATTGACGTTTAATGCTAATCTGAGATGGATACCTAACAATATTTTACTGACTTGGCATTGAATGACCTGTGAATAGGCCTACTGCAAACATGAACATTTTCTTACCTGTAGGAGAACAAATAAGCCAAGGCCTTTAGTTTTCAGGAAGAAAGATAGCTCCGGTTCTACAAGTAGCTAACAGCAATGAACTGACTTAGTGATATCCAATATATTCCTATTTTAGCAAAAGGTGTTATTAGATATCCACTGGGAAAAGATTGCTCAGGTTTGACAAGTAGCTAACAACAGTGCAGTTGACTTTGTAATGTCCATTCCTAATTCAAAGACTTCTGCAGAGTTTTAAGCCCAGTGTCGTATATACATGCACACTGCCATGGATAAGTTGTGTCCTACCATGCATGAAAATTTAGATTGAAAGTTAGCATTCAGTGCCATCTTTTAGGGGCACAAATTGATCATAATACGAGTTTACTTTCGACCATAAAACCCATTTTCCCAATAATTGCCTCCGTAACCACAGTTGATGGCTACAGTTCAGACAACTTCACAAGCTCTGACAGTGATCCTACCTACATAGGCGCACGTAACTCATCAGACACTGATGAACCATCTGACACACAGAGCTTCATCACAGCAAGACAGGTTAGTCACCCAATCAGTCGTCCTGCCAGTCCAACAACTACTCTGGATCAGAGAAGGAGAAGTAGTCAATTTTCATCAAATGATGGCTTTGTGGAAGGATTAAACAATTCAGGTAAATTTTTTAACTCTGCCCCCTTCCTTTCACCTCCATTCCTTGTTTGGAAGTTCTGGAAATTGGAATGTTTTCCTTTTCAGCAAACTTGCATGATGAGTTTATGAAAAGTAGAACTGAGAGGATATGGTGCAATTGCAATAGTTTGATTTTACCAAGACTGTGTGCATGTTGCATATGGTTCTAAAATTCGATGCATTTGAATTCAGTTTTGTGAAGCTTTTGGCGCATAATACCACCCAAGTCGTGGCATATACTTGTCACCAGACTAGTCCATCTTGTCACCTCCATAAAGAGAAACTAATGGGGTAACCAATGCCGACCATTTCAAATGGGTACCACATGTCGTGCCAGGTCCATGCATACCTATCAGGACTCAATATACATGCACAAACCTGTATGCGTGTGTTTATGGTGCCTTGTGAGGTACCACAACAATGGGAAGTGCACAACAAGGAACATTCCTTGCACCTGTAGGTACCAAAATGATACCCCAGAAGAATTTCATGAAACGTTTATTTGGAACTTACTTAAAAATAAGGAATTTTCAAAGTAGTTTATCTGTCGCAAATTGAAGTGTTTTATATGAGGGATGCTCGGTTGAAATTTCAGCTAAGGAAAATGATTCAGGACCAAATGGAAGCAATTAGAAAACTGTGCTTCGCACTCTAATTTTTTACGACTCAAGAACAAAAGATTTTCCCCACAAGGATAGAAATATAAGGGTAGAAAGCTAACACCTGGTATGTCCCACTCAAGGGTTGCCATTACTGTGTAGAGTCAGATTACCTGTTGTCCATGTACATACATGTAAACATGTAGCTCAACAGATCAAGTAAAAACCCATTAATTAAAGCTGTGTTAAAAAAGAAACCATACAAACTCCAATTTGATTTGACTTTTTGGCAGTGAACTCCCCTTTCCAAGTGGATTCACCAGATACAAGCTTTATTGGTAGCACACCAACAGTCAAGAGAAAAAGAGGTCGACCTAAAGGTAGCAAGAGCAGACAGTCTACACCACAGAGTGTAAGGTGCATTTCTAAGTTGTTGAAAAGAAATGAAATGTGTCTGAATTTGACAAATTCTGACTTCCTAACCCTCATGTAAAATCAGGTTTTGGCTTCACAGTCTAGAAGCCATTGAAGTACTATGCTTGGATTTTGTAGAATTTAGGGCATGTAAAGCTGGAACTTACTTATTTCCGTTGAAAATGTTAGGGCTATTTTTCTTAAGAACTAGGATGCTCAGAAATGTACAGTATTTTTCATACCAGAGCTTTGCATTCTAAATGACCAAACCTAATCTTGATAAACATGAGAAAGCTGTAAAACTAGTATTCATGTAACATGCTTATGAATTTTTCATCTATAGTCCTGGACAAATCTTGTTGGAACATGCTTCCCCCTCTCCCCCAGTCAATGTTGTTTCTCATTGAGTAGGCTGGGCGGAATCTTGGTCCAATAAATGACTGCAACATTGAATTGGGGAGAGGGGGATCTTTTCACCACGCTTCCCACATAGTGTTCCAACTATTTTGTCCAGGATTGTAGCTTCCAAATTTTTAAAGCTGTTAATTTTTTCAAATACTGGTATGTTTTTTCATCCTTGCTTCTGCACTAATTTGATGATAACCTTAAATTCATTCAGGAAAACAGCAAAACTCCCACTCAGACCCGATACAACTTACGAACCAGACGTCTCCAATCATTCTACAATCCTATTCTCAACACGGAGACTGTGGAGATGTTCATTGAAGGACTCAGTGCATCACTGGGCCGGCGAACTTTACAAGCTGAAAGGGTGGAGCCAAGACAGTGTAATATCACATCATTTTCTTCTGATGAAGGGTTTTAAAATGACATCATCCGATCACGCCATTTTTTCAAACTCTTTTCACTGACATCCAAATTGCTTGTTTCCTAGGAGACTGGTAATTGAAAGATGAACTTTGTTTTGTTGTAAAATAAATGAGATGTTTAAAAAAAACTGTGGCATTCATTAAAGTATTTTCCCATCAATAAATTGCACTGAAATAAAGAATAATCAAAATTCTGAAAACAGTTTTTATTCACTTTTTGCTGAAGGAATATGTGAAATACAACAGTACTTGTCATTGACATGTCATGTAGATTGCATGTCAAGTCTTAAAGGAAGTTGTGGCAGTCATAAACTTAGATCCAGCGTACACTTAGTGGCGTTGAATAAATTGCATTTTGGGGGTCCTCTAGTCGCAAAAACTGAACAAATGTCTAAGACAGTGAATGCATCTAAAATATTTTACATTTGAAAATAATTTCAAATGGTTTATATGCAGAAAGTGTGTGAAAAGAATTTTTTTATTAAAGTTTGTTTCACCTTATGTACCCCTTGTAAAGTTACAGTGTACTTCAAAATACATTGCAATTGTGATGTATTTCATGTACATGTAGGTATGTTTCGTATATCAATCAAGTTTTCACCAGTACCGATGAAGTGCATCTCAAACCTGGAAAGGAGATCATGCGATTGTTTTTTGAGTTTTTGACTTGCTTTTTTTAATTTTAGGCTTAGTGTGGCATGTCAGGTTAATTCAATAAAAATTGGTCAAGTTCTTATCCTTTTAACTAAATAAGAAGGCATTTGGGATGTCCAAAAATTCAAATTGTTTTGTATTCATCCCTTGGAAGCACTAAAAGGGCACACAGCCAGAGCCAAAAACCTCAAAACTGGAAGAATTGCTAATTGCCGATGGCATTTAAACAACTGCCATGATGTGCATAAATCCAGTAAGATTCTATTCACAGCTTAAGCTTAAATGGCTAGTATAACTATACTGTTTACATTGAACTTATATTTTTGAATTTGACCAATAGTACAACTTAACAGCAAAAGGAATTATAAACATCAGAACACGAACATGACAATCCAGTAAATATAGAAATTCTTGCGTTGCTTTTATTTTGCAATTTGAAAGGTGTGTAATGACATACGAATTTCACAGAAAAAAAATGCATGTAATTTTTTACATGTATGCAACAATATTTACCCTTAGTACACTGCTAAACAAATGGGCAAATTGAAGATTGATCTTACACATTAATCTGGAAAAGCTATGCAACTATTAAAAATGTGTCTAAATTCTGCTGGTATGGAACGCGTTCGTGTTGAACTGTCACTAATTTTATCATTAAATAAAAACGGTAAATAGAACCTAGAAGCTAAGAAATAAACCATAAACATTACTAATCAGGATAAGTTGACCCCAAAGAAACAAAGCAGTTCATAATTTGATTGATACGTCTGCATACCTTTTGCCAAACCAGATGAAGCATTTTTTTTTTGTACAATGGTCATATAAACCGCACTGCCAACTTGAAATGTTTACTTTTTAATGGTCCGAATAACATTTTACCACAACTTGCATCCAAAATTAGGCATTCAAGACTAGTGCATCCAAATTTGATGAAACTTGGCGTGGAATGTGTACTTGTGAGGACAGTTCCCCAAATTCAAATAACGTCAAAGACAGTCCATTTATTATTTGGCCTGGTCTTACAGTGAACATAGTTTACAGGGTGTACTTCCTTGTGAAAACATGCACAGGAAAAGACTCCCTCAGTTCCAAGAAGCCCGAGGATTTAATTTTATTTCTCTTTAAAAGAAAAACAAATTTTTGTTCAAGTCTTATTTGCACATTATGCAGAAAATAAGCATTCTCCTAAAAGAGCAATTCTTTACATGAGTAAACAAATAACTTTACAACTAGTATTAGTTATGCATACATTATAACAAAAATTGGACACTTTTACATGTACATGTAATGAACCTACAAAGTGCCTGCAAAAACAAATAAATTATGAACCAAGCTAGCAATGGTAAACTGACAACATGTCAGTGTTCCCTGTTGGAAATAAGTCTCATTTATTTCATTTTTGCAAAAAACACAGGCTGATTCCAACAATGTATTATGATCAATATACATATGAACATTTCTACTGTTGATTTTTTTAATGAGTATTTAAAATGCTATCTAAAAGCATAAACTCATTCAAACTGAAAGGTCATGTAAGGGGGGTACAGGTTTGAGTGTTCCCTAGGGGAGTACGAAAGGAATTATGTATTATTGCTTTAATTTATTTTTACATTTACTAGATTATGTATTGAACTTTTATGGTCACATTTAAGTGAAAGATATGGTAAACATGGAGAAAGAGGCGGAAAACCATTGGTATTTGAGTACAAAATAATGCTATTTATTGTTAGAATCTCTGACTGATCTTTACTACTTCTCCTTGGTAACTGAAAGCCATTCTGAGTTACATGTAATTGTCTTTTTAGAGAGCCTTAACTCCCCCAAAAGAATTGTAACAGGTAAAAGAAATATTTCAAGTTCAAGTTCTTTCACCTCAAAATCTAGTTCAGGGAAAATCTCAAAAATTGGAATGCTATAGAATGTTCCATTGACAGCAATTACTTGTTGCATTTCGGGAACACTTCGTTCTTACAGGGCATACATGTAACTTGGATAGCGGTGAATGTCAACTTGGGAATGGCACGTTCCCAATAGGAATATGTAGGACCACTACGAATTCTCAAAAGGGAACACAAATATTCCTGAAAGGAGCATTCAAGTTTGAACAGAACATACACAAGATTTTCCCCTTGACACAGACTATTTAAAGGCCCTAAATATTACAGCTTATTTCTGTACTAGAATTTGCCAAAAGTTAGGCTATTTTGCTGTGTTATTTTGGGTTTTTTGGGGGGGTAGTTTCAAGTTGTTTCAGTGTACATGTATCAAAGTGGGCCAGTGAGCAAAAGTTTTCTCACAAATACCTTTCAGTAGGCAAATTTAGAGTTTACAATTTGAACAGATAACCTGTGAAAAGAAGAGTGTCTCCTCAAAATGACAGCAAAGCAAAAATGCCTTAATTTGTCGAGAAATACTTGGAAAACTTTGCCATTTAACAAAGTAAATGTGTTGCAGACCATCTCAACTGTAGCACTTGATAGATGTACAACTGACACCCAAACACGTCTATGTACCTGGTTGAAGGAAGTTATGAAGTCATGAACACGGTTCCAAAATCCCCTGTATACAGGATCCTATTTACGTGTAATAAAGCCAAACCTACAAAACAGCTTGTTTTCTCCTATGATGTCTGGTGCTTCAAACAGAAAAGAGTGATCACATCTTTAGCTGCCCCTTATTAGCTTCCATTAAGCTGCATCTAATATCTTAAAACTGGAGAGAAAGAATAAAAAAAAAGGTATGTAAAGACTAGCATTTTCCAACAGTTGAAAAAACCTTTGGACAAAATGTGAATGACTGAAATGTTTCCCTCCTGTCTTTTAAAACTGGTTGTTCTTCTCAAAGCAAAGCACACTATTTCCATTGCTTTTTCCAACTAGGTATCATTTGAACTTGCTTTTGAAGAAGGCATGTTGATATTAAGTGAGAATTTTTTGAACTTTCAATACCTTATAATGTACAACTTGCTTCACAACAGCATTGAAACAATCAAACTCCATACACATGTATAATTAAATGCCACTGTTCTTGCAGTATGCACGTATCTCAAACTCGAGCATGACCACTCCAACATTAGAGGAATGCCACCAAGATATGCTTACCTTTTTCAGAAATTCCTCTGCAACAATACGGGCCCTGGCATTGACACTAAGTTTCATCTCACTGATCTCCTTGTCAATTTCTTCCATAAACTGGATGACAAAGTCTACTAACTTGTCCTTGTACATTTGCTCCGTGTGGAAGTTGGTTATGAGGAAGCTGATATCATAACCCTGCCAAATGAAGAAACAGGAGATTGGGAATACAGACCTCCTTCCCAAAGTTATGATTCCTAAGTACTTCCACAAAATGACCATTTTGTTACAAAATATCAATTTTTAAACTGAAACATGTTAAAAACTTCCTTTTTAGTTCAAGTCAGTTCATACCTGGTGTGAAAGTGAAAAAAATCAAGAGTCAAATGAAATACTGGCATTACAAATTTACAGAAGTTGAACACATTTCATCTCGAGCAACTTAGCAGCAAATATTTCATGCCGTTAAAACTCACTTTGCTTTTTGAATTTGATGTACAGACAAAATGGTAAAAATTGGAATGGGGCATATTTAGGGCCAGTGATACTGAGTGGGACAAGAAAAGAGCTTTTTAACTGATATGGAACTGTAACCTGGTGGTTTAATTTAGGTTCAGTTAAATTTACAATTAACAGAAATTTACAGAGAACACATAATCAACTATTCATATTGTTGCAGATGTTACATTATCGAAATTTTTAATACTTTGTTAAAAATGCTTTTAATATCTAGCATTCCAACTACTGCATTAAGAGAAACATTTGCTGGCAATAAAACTCAAATGCAGTCTCAGGCAATTGTGAAAATTGTGTATTCATGTGCTTGCTATATTACGTAAACGTCGTTATCAACAGTCTCCAACATGATTTTTGTGATCGATTTGGCATACTACTTAGTACAGGGCTTTCGGGCTATCTTTAATATTGAAAAATTTATACCTTAAAAATTTGTCACAAGATTATAAGGTTTCTGATGACAGACTGGAAAACATAAATAAAAGCAAATATTACCCTGAAGTCAAAGTAAGGTGAAATTCTTTCATACCTCAACAGGCTTTCGTCGGAGAATAAAAAAGTTTTCCGCCCTAAGCATCATGAAGCGCATGAACTTGTGACACAAGATCTTCTCAATTTCATCAGCCTTAAAAAAAATAGGATGAAAACCAAGAAAAAAAATGATCAAGTCTAATAATGATGATAATAATAAAACATTCATTAAGCACCAATCCATTAACAAGCAAATGCTCCTCAGCACTTAACACTACAAAGCTTTAAAATTACAGCAATCACAAGGAAATTAAGAAAAATTGATAATTGCTATAATAAAACCAACAAAAATCATACACAATATTGCATTAAAATTAGAACTAAGTCTTTAAACTTGAAGTGTACCGGGCAACTTGAGAATATGCCTTGGACGGAATAGTTCTGTGACTTACTTGTTTAATACCAATGCTTATTCTGATTGAGTTAATTGATCCTTCAATCAGAACTTTTTCTTTCTCATTTCGGCTGATGACTACTGGCATAAGGAGCAACTCCTTTCCACTCCTGTTGAGCCAACAAAAATCAATCAAGATGTTCAGAGTCAATATCTATTCTGAACAACTGTACAGTGAGTGCAGCTTTTGAGATTCATGCTTTGATTGCTGTCTCTTCAGGTTAACAATTGTGACAAATCTGATAGTAAATGTTCCTTTCACACCCACCTGACTTCCACCTCTGGTTTGTTATGTCTTTCTACAACCTGCGAGGAGAAGTTTTCAAGGCACATAGAAGCCTGTAAGGTTGCCCTTACAGCTTGTAGATAGGGTCTCAGTGTGGCAGCCTGAAGAAACAAAACAAACACACACGAGTAAAGAACACAAATGATACATATTCTCATTACTCATTTTAAAAGTTTCTTTCAGATGTTAACTTTACCACGTTTCACAAATGCACAATGAAGTATTTAAATTTTGAAAAAAAAGACTGACTGGGTCTGAAGTAGGAGTAAATGCCAAATATAAGCTTATTTAAGTTCTTATTGAACTTGGTTGGAACTTCTTTGGCTAGGTGCCTCATGAAGTACATGTATTGCTTTCATCTGTAGAACAGTGTGTATTTCAATGCAGTTAATGAGGCGTTTGGAAAACCATACTGCTTAACGTTTATTAATTCATGTGCCACACATTTTTTTTTTTAAGTTATGATGTTTTTCTTAATTCTGTTATCGATTCCGTAGACATATATACATGTACATGTAAGAAGGGGAAGTCTACAACAGACACAAGACTCAGTGGATTATCCGTAGTCACTAAAGGACACGTTGCCAGTGTTGGCTATTGTACATGTACAACAATGTACATGTACAGTATATCTTGCCATTGTACAAGTAGTACATTCACCAACCACCATTTCTACAATAGCACACCCTTCACTACACTAGCAGGAAGTATGAACAGGACAGGACTTAAATACACATTTGTAGTGGTCATGCATGCACATGTAAATGTAAGGCTGAATAATGTGATGTCAAACATCAAACCCTTTTGAAAATGTTGGAAGATCATACATGTACAGTATGTATCTCAAAGTTTAGAAACATTTGCATGCAATTTACTTGGGTAAGTGTACATGTATGTGCAGGATTAAGCTCTCATAACCCTTTCTGCAGAAACAACATGATGTGATTCGGGGGACATTCACCAGAAAAACTCCGAAATTATGGCATGCAAAGTTTAACATGGGCAGATGTTACCAAGTGAAGTTTGCCAAATTCACCAGAAGTTCACCTAATCCCTTAATCTCACAACTTTGATTACATGTATACTACGTTCTTGATCAATGACGACAAAATTAGCCTTCATCCCCACAAAAAAAAGAAATCAAAAAGTGTTGATATAATAAATGCCTCATGAGTCCAACAAAATCCAACAAATGATTGATAACACAGCACTTAAGCTTACAGATGTGAGATGTCTATTATGCTATTGGCAGAGTGACATACAATAGGTAAAAATAATACATAACCTTAAGCATGTATGTATACTAATTTGAGAAACATTTACAAGAACAATTCTTCAAATCTCCAGATTTGATTACTTAACGACAGTAAATTATTGAAGAGGATGTGTACGTGTGCGGGTCGGAATCTGAATGCCATCTGCTTGTTGCACAGTCATAAATAACCAAATTTGAAACATGTTTTCAATGACAGAGATCACTGGAAATGGAAAATGCAGTGTTGAGACACTTTTTTTCTTCCTGTATGCTTAAATTCCAATTTCAATTTCAAACTTAATATAGGTTTTGTATCATTTTGTCACCTACATGTGCATCAACGGCTATTACAATAAACAAAATATTGAAAAGCACTTTGCTTCATTCAGTGATTTACTACTTTATGCAATGTAAAATCTGTGATAACTGTTCTCCATTTCGTTTAGAGTTGTCTCAACACATGAAGTAATTTTTTTTCAAAATTACATTAAGTGTAATTGTGAGTCCTTCCTTAGGTTCATGTATTTAAAATTAACTACAAATTTGGGTGTATATGGTTTAAAATGGTCCGGTCTTCCACAATCAGGCTTGTGCATGTTATCTCTTTATTAATTCTTCATTCAATGTTTTTACAACTGCACACAGGAAACTCTTGAATAAGCAAGTGTTTAAACAGTTGTGTTCAAGGAAAGGTGGCCAAATTCTTTCATTTTCTATTCCTGACGATTTAAAATAACAGGAAATCAATTTCAGAAAGCATCAACATGTTTACAACAGAGATAAATTTATTTGTGACCATTGACGAAAATCAGCACACTGCTCAACGACAGTAGGCAACTTCTGTGGAGAATTTCTCAAATTAAATACGGCTCATACCCAACAGAATTCATCCAAAATACACCAACCTGTCATTTCATCCTTAACACAAATGAAACTAGTTTCTGCTGCATGAGTCAATGAAATGATGCTGGCAAATGCTATGGCACACATTGGCACTTGACTCAAGGGCTGCACGCATGCATTCATTCACAACCTTAAGATCGTGCAAGGCATGGTGGAGACCAAAATGGCGCAACAAATTCATACCCCTGAGGAACCGGTTAACCATGTTATCAAGCTTCCTGCCGGAGCCCGGAGGGTGGTTGCTCGTCTGCTAGTGCTATACACACTGTTGGGCTAGCCCAACAGCAACACTGTAGTTAGGACTGTCCTAACTACAGTGGGACAGATGTTATATTTGGAACAGTTAATACTGCTATAAAAGAAATAAGGCCTAGAGGTAAAAACATGCAGTGGCTATACATGTACATGTAGTTATGGAAGTTGAGACAGGCTGCTGTCTATTTTTGTTGCAACAGCCTGGTGCATTGGAAATGGGAACCATATCAGTCTACTGATCTCGGACTTCATTCCCGATTTTTTAACAGGGGTGTGAATCTATTGGTACCCAAAATAGGGATTAGGGAAAGCGGAAAAAGTGGAAAGTACACATACCATCTGACTGAGATTTTAGTGACAAAAGAGGAAGAGAAAATGCATGCAGAGCAGGCTGGAACCTGGTACAATGAGTTCACTGAACAGCATGCATACTGATTGGCATGATGGGGATATCACAATATCCCATGATCAACGAGGATAGGTGATAATTTAAACCTCAACTTTTAGGGCCTTTGGTTTAACGCGAACCGTGAACATGGTGAATAGGCTTGGTACACATGCAGTGCAGTGCCATGAGTCTGTTTAATCATTTTCTTTGATTTTCATCCATTTGGCTAAAGTTACAGTTACTGTAACAAAACTTCCAACTTCTATAGTTACAGCACTGCACAGTTATTAAGGTTATTGTAGTCAATCACAACTTGTCTATTCTCACGGTCCGGATGACACTGAGTCTTGATTCTTCTCTCTGATTGGTCAGTTGGTGGCTAGTCCATCTTTCACACTCAAAACTCAAAGGGACAAATATAGTGTTGCAGTCTATGGGGAAATCTTAATTACTGACTACACTCTTAACCTTTTCATGAAAATGTCAAATATGCCCAAATTTCACTATTTATCCACTCCCACACTGTACTGAAAAGGTTTCAGTTATCTTTTATCAAGTTGCGGCAAAAAAAGGAGAAAAACATAAAACTTCCAGTACAAAGTGAATGGAGAGTGGCCCCTTTGCCCAGACGTGAGTATAATAAATGGAACAACCTCCGATAGCGAGAACTGTTCTCTATTTTGAATTCCCATTCTCTCCCACAAAAAATTGCAAGGGGTGTGAAATGCATTTTCCGCTCAATCTGTGTTGCAAAACAAGAATTAAACAAACACAAATTTGGTATTCGACACACGTTTAAATTTACTGATAACACAAAATGAGACACATAACGTTAGGCAGAGGCCTAGCCCAGGTGGACTCCCTGATCGAACTATGTAATGAAATAAAGACAACGTCCAACCTGGGCTTGGCCGAGGCCATAAGTAGGGCCTAGGCCTATACTATAGTCTATGGGCCTACTACTGGCAGCTAGGTGAAGTAGGAAGTTGTTCTCGACTACGTCGAGTGTCGGGAAACTCCCAAGTGAAGTCAAAACAATGCCAAAGACAAGCCGTATCAATAGAAAAGGAAATGCAATAGTCCTCTTTCACGACATTAAATCCTCAGAAATCAGCCAAGCTAAATTTTGATCTTAAAATGGCAGAATTGACACACTGTTCTCACCATGTTCAGACTTCCTTCCAACGCGGAAACGCCCGGCTCAGATCTAGCTAGGGCCGTGGTGAATGCACGTATCTGGGACTGGTACCCGGCGCTGCCCTAACATGAAAGCGAACCAGCCGAAAAAATAGCGCCACCACGAGCCAACGATATCTCACGCGCCGCCTTCTGCTTGCTGCTGCAAACTTTACATTGTACTGGAACATTCAACAGGCGAGTAGTGGCTAGCAGACAAAAACTTAAACAAGCATGCAGGAAGGCCCCTTCCCGAGCTTAATGTTTGCCGGTCACAAATATATGGCGCACGCTGCAAATGTAACCATAATTTAAGAAGCCTGTTACGGACTTGTACTGTTCAGTGCCACAAAAAATTGGGCGTTACGATTAAAAGCAGCTACACCAGTGGACAACAATATCGATCATGTATACGATCGGCGAATTTCAGCTTAGTGAGGCCATTAGTAGGATCTCAACTACATTGTGCTTCGTTCACTAAAACGCACTGTGTGTGCACCTTGTACTCGTTATAAGAACTTAAATTCGCTGAGCCGTCTAGCGCTCCAACCCTTCCCCGCCGGTGACATTTGCTGACAAACAACAGCATAAATTTCTTTTTAAAAAAAAGGCAAGTGACGGCTAGTATTGCGAAATGACTAGAAACATAAATTGCCTTTGTCCAAGTGTTGATAATGGTTATTGACAAACCAAGTGCCTGGGCAAGCCTGGGCCTGTCTTATATCAATGGTTGGTCTCTCTGATGTGTCTTTGAGCTATCTAGACAGCTGTCTGAGTAGTTTCACTGCGTTGGGGGGGTGTCAAATTTTTGTTGACTGTGATGGGACCCCCCCCCCTTGACTGGAAAAAGGGTACCGTGACCGTACTCTGACCTTTTTTTGTGCGGTTTTTTTTATTTGTAGGCACTTTGGGACACCCTCTGATCAATTTAAATGCCAGTAGAAGGGAATGTGGATATGGGAAGAGGGCTATGCTGTCCAAGCATTAACCCTAAAAAGTAGGTCCTGTAATAGAGGACAATAAGGTCCCCGATTGACAACCGTGTACAAAAAATATGGGTAGTCTTCTAAAAAAGTTAAAGTACAAACAAAAGAGGAACAATAGGGGGTCCCCAGTTGCAGGCAAATACACACTTGACAGCGTTGACGCAGAAAACGCTGAGTACCCGCAACGATTTTAGTACAGAATGTGTGGTCTTTGCATGCACGCTGAACGCGTATAAGAACCCGGTTGGAAAACTTAGTGCCACCTGTCTTTCTTTCGCCGGCGAGAGTGCTCAGGGCGGATAACGTTTCAATCACTCAGTATTTGATCAGCAACATTCTGTGCAGAAAGTTGAATGACTTTGTTATCTCCTTAATTAACATGAACAGCGAAAAACAGTATTTCAGAGATGGCCGAGTGGTTAAGCTTGCGGTCATCAGATCGTTAGACGGTCGGTTCGAATCCCAGAAGTGGCTTTTTTTAATTTTTCCGACGCTTGCTGTCAGTAGCTATAAGAGACTCCAATTCACCCCCGTCAAATACCAGCAGTAC